TTATATCCGTGAATCGTATTATCACAAATGGGTATCAAAATTTTGATACAGTGTGTTCAAATCGAACGAAATAGCGAGCCTGCTATTTCGAGCAGTTGAATGTGATTGAATTTACAAGTAATTATTAAGTGATATTTTTGCCTGATATTTTTACCAAGGCTGTACATCAAAATATCAGTTTTCTGACTTTGGCATTTAAGAAAAGCGTTGTCAATTATAACATTGATATCTACTGATCCTCTCTTTTCAGCTGGTAAAAAGTAATCCAGGAGTAATAATTGTCAATTGACTTAATTTTCTTTATATAAATGATTATTTTTACATCCCAATTGGAATCACTATTATTAATAACATATTGTATATTATTAAATTACTTTCTGATTTATTATTTGAGAACATTATGAATGTATGGATTTAATTATAATTTTCTGAAAAAAAATAATTATAAATTAAACAAATATTAAAAGAAATGAATACGTTAAATAACTTATTATGGTAATATTTCTAAAAAATAAAGAATTTAATTAAATATAACATTTTTTTATTGTGGATTTTAGAATTATAGATAGCAATAGAATTGAGTATTTAAAAGAATAATTGATAAAAAATAATAGTTAAAAAAAGAAAAAATGTTAAACAATATTTATACGAATACAAAACAATATTTTACAATAATTGACATTTTTCTCCGCTGAAATATAAAAATATCTTAGTCGATTATTCCTGGATTAAAGATGTTTCTCGTAATTAGCTCATCTTTCTATTGCTACCGTTCATCTATTCCTGATGTGGCATATGAGCTTGTCGTTGCCACAAACACGAAGCAAACCACAGCAAAATTAATTGTGTGATTTATATATGCTGCCACAGGCAACATATAATTAATCCCTGTTGCTGGGTATTGTTTGTCGCGGACGAGCGAACGCGCGTGGACGTCAAAGTGGGCGAGTAAGTGCAATCGATTTGCAATAAATGGCACTTGCCAGCATTGTGCGCTCGGTCAATTCCGTGGTTGATGCTAAATTAACTCAAAATTCAGTAGGCCTCCCTTGGTACCATTGCCAACGATTTATGGCACGAAATAATATGTAATTCATCCGTCCGATCTCGACCCGCTCCTTTTTCATGCTGCCTCGCATGGTTCGCTACTCTAAAGAAAAAAAAAATAATAAAATGAAAGAGAGAGTTATTAATCTTGATGTTTTTAACGGCATAGTTTTACCGTGACGAAATATCATCACAAAGCACGTCGTCTTTGTAGTTGCATTATCGGTATAACGATGAAATATTGCGAACAATATTATGGGAATGACTTGTGTAATTATATAATTTATCTTCCTAGCGCTACCTCATTTACTGCATCGAAAATAAAGGAGATGTAAAATATAGTGTGTTTTAAACTGAATTTTTTTAAGTATTAGATAAAAAATACATTGATTCCTCTTTAAATGACGATTGTAATAAATGTTCTTTATTTATCCAATAAACAAAGATATACATAGCTTTTTAAAATATTTGTTACAAAATCATCATAAACTTTATTCAAACGCATATTTTCTTTATTGACGATATTTGGTAGAGTAAATACATACCCGATATAAATGATAATAAAATGGTATAATGGTAGCAAATTTACAAATATTAATAAATAATATTCTCCTAAACGAAGGGATTAAAATGTAAAGCGCATTTACTTGTTGAAACGTTTTGGCTTAATATGATTTTAAAATATATCACACGCGTCCAAATATTATATGTATATATTATGATAATATTTCACACAATACAATCTCAATAATATGGACTTTATAATTGCAGGATTTTGTCGATTATTACACACATAGCGATGGATTGATAGAGATAATTTATGAACACGTATCTCTGTCATCATGAATAATAACTTTTTAATTATATTTCAGACAAATCGGAGCGATGCGCATCAAGTAGTCCTAAAGGATGTACAGCCCAATCATACTGGCAAATATCGTTGCGAAGTCTCCGGAGATTCTCCCTCGTTTAATACCGTAATGGTTTCTGGTTACATGCACGTAGCTAGTGAGTATCTGGAGAAATGTATTTTACATCTGAGTAAAGATAACACGACGTGCACTGCGAAGACTGAAAAGCGAAGCTCAACGCACAGCTAAGCAAACATATTCCTTTCTATGAATTCCGATATGAGTAAATATGTGACGAAAAGAGCAAAAACCTATAAACCTGCATGTTCCTCGTACACGTTATAATATTTAAAATAAAATACTGCAATTTTACAGAACTACAAAATAATTATAGCTAATTAATTACAAGATTAATAGCAGTAATGAAAGACTGAAATTTTATCAAATTAATAACGCGGCACGTAATATGTGGGAAAACATTTAGAGAGATGTTCAACCACTTAACAGTTGGAAAAAAGTAATGTAGGAAAAAAGTAATGAATAGAAAATTACTTTTAACTTTGTAGAAAATTTTATTAAAAATTGTGAGAAAAATCTGATCTGAAATAAATTTTAAATGTTTTCACTAAAATATTTTTACATGATCTACATCAGGCGAATAAGTGTTTTTCGTAACATCAAATCTTTATTTCATCTATTGTGCAACATAAATTAAACTCGGATATATTCCTCTCATTTATATATATATTTTAGTATTTTTGTTATAATATTTTTATAACGAGTTTTTCCCGATTTTTCATAGCATTTGTTGTACATATAAACACAATTGTTATTTTAGAAAGATGTTAAATAACTATTATATTTTTATAACACTTCAAGTTCTTGTAACAACATTTACTTATTGAGCCAACAATTTTAAAAACAATTATTGACTCTGTCACTACGAAACTATGAAAACTTTTAAATTTTTTAATAATTATAAAATTTATGAGAGAATTTATGAAGAGAAAAGGAAAGAGGATTAATAATTGCTATTGGGTCCATTTCATAAATTTAATAAGCTTTATGTTACAAATAACGAATAATAAATTTTAAAATCCATTGAAATTTACCAGACTTGAAAGACTATGGCTTCTTATTTTATGAAATTATAGAAGTTATGAAATATAATTAATTCCAACATTCTCGCTGGTCCTGCCTCAGAGAGGAAATTACAAATTAACGTCATAGGTAGCTGTTTATGCGTGCGAGATGACAAAAAGCTGGCGTCATTAGCCTTGATAAGCACGCAATAAACCTGTCTGCAAGACAGAAATCTTCGATTGGTGATGCTTATTGAATTCTTCGTCCATCCCATCTTGTCCGATCCAAGATGAAAAAGCGTGAAAGCCACCGTTAATTTCACCATTTGACGCCACTAAAGCGTTAAATGGATATCGTTAATTTATAACTACTATTCCATCGACTAACGTTGTTTCGGTGGACGCGCACGATCGTCTCATGTAATTCCCGTTTGTAACGTGGATAATTGCTGCGACCAATTCGCTACGAGACAGCACTTTTTGTGGCGTCCTTCGTATATAAGCGACACCTATTCCGCGCCAGCTGGGACGCATTGTTAAAATTCAATAAAAACATTTTATCGTCCCATTCGAGGGCGGTTAACAGCTAGGTGGAGAGGACGAGGGTCCGTGATGAATCGCGGATTCGGTCGTGACCCGTTAAACTTTTTTTTTTCGCTCGCTTTTGCCCACGACTTTGTTCCTTGCACTTTGTACCAGGCACCGGATCTCTTTCTCTCTTCTCCGGCATGTCTCTCGCGAGAGTACCTTTCATTATCGTTGATTATCCTACATGGCGACTAGTATTGTCACCGTAATCGCGCCCAATTAAAACGCAGTTAAGCGAGGAGAGAGAAACCGAATAGCGAGGACGGAAGAGAGACGACGATAGCAGCGGCGGCGACGACTGTGAAAAGGAAGGAGACGCGAAGATCAAGGAAGGAGCATCGGTGTCGAGTCCCGTTCCCACCGCCGTCATCGATCTAACGACGGCACAAGCACGATAGGGATACTCCTTTCGAAGGGACGAGGTGATTGCCTCTTCTTTCCGATTACGAATCTCTCGTAAAAGCTCGATACTAGATCGGCAAGTTTCGAAACTCGTCTTGCAAGCTCGTGCAAGTCCCCTTCGTCCTTGCCGCTCTCGGATGCACCGTCTCTCTCGTTTCCTCTTTCCCAGTTCTCACGAGATCAGTGATTCCATTCTATGCGACACATGAGTTGAAAACCGTAATATTCCTTGGTCGTGTCCTTGAGAGTACTCATGGCGAAGATCGCGCGAGGAAGGAGCGGCCCGAGGCGGAAGTCGTTGCGGGGAAGTGAGACAATTCCCTGAGTTACAGTTTACCGGATTGCCACCGCAGTTACGTGTCATGAGGAGAGATTCACTACCTTCTGTGGACGTTATAATGATCCTCCAAGATGTACATGATACGTTTTATATATATATATATATATATATGTCGTCAGACTTGAACTTCACTTAATGACGATGATGTTCGCGGAAAACAGTCCGTGTGACTTACCGTGAAGGCCCGAAAAGGCCAATTTTGAATAAAGCGATGCGCGGACGTGTTTTATATTTATGAAGGCGCATCGCCTCGGGCTTTGTACGGAAACACTACTTCTAATTTACGGCGCGGCGGACGCGTATCGCTCTTTCAATTCAATTTCCCGAGATGTGCAACGCGCCACAGCGATATCCGTGTATAGACGGAAATCCTCTCCCCCATTGTTCAGGGATAAAAGTTACATTTTTGTCGCATCGCCTATATCCTCGCGTGCGTCAGTATAACGATTCATATAACTGCGAAACAATTAACAAAGTACGATGCATTATATTATACAGAGAGTGATTGGAAAGTACTTCCTCGATGTAGAAATAAAGGATTATTTTATATCAATTTTATATCAATTTTACATTTTATTTGCACAACAGAAAGTAGATATTGTCATGCATAAAGTTGTATACGCATATAGTTATTCAATAAATACAGAAATTGTCTATATTTATAAGATAAGATATGTAATTCACAAACAATTGGAATGGACTCACCAAAAGTGAGTTTAACTGCAAATTTGATTGCTTTGGATTTGGTCCTCCTCAATGCGTAAGTCAAGCATAAGCTGAAGTTAAATATATTATTTAGGCTTCCAATTCTAAAATTGAAAAGAGATAATGAATAAGTTGAATCTCGATTAAGAGTTAACCGTGAGAAACTGGAACTTACACATCAACAATCATGGAGACTCATATAGGTACTTTACTTATATTTGATTTATTATTCATTACGTTTAATATTTAATGAAGACTGTTCACTTTATTATAATATAAATACTATGTATTTACATGTGACTTTATAATTAGTTATATATATTTTTACGACTCTCTTTAAAAGTCTATTGATTCTACAATTTTTTAAATGTACTTCATGTTTGTAACTTCTTAATTTAATTTTTTTTCTATTATAACTTTCTATTATAATTTTTAATTTGGCTGAAGAAGACATAAATTAAGTCAAAACGTCTCATTGTTTGTTGAAAAATTATAAATATTAATACTCTTTGAGATAGATTTTTTAATAAATCAGTTCGTATTTTGTGATCTAATTATAATATTTGCTTATAGCTGACTTTTCTATTACTTTTTATTCTTAGAGTTACAAAAGTATTTTTACCATGTCTCAAAGGCAGGTATTCGTTACGCTGCTCGAATGTCGAGGTCAAATAACGTAAGAAGTAACATTCGCGATTTCTGCGCGGCATGTTCTTGAACACCACGAACAATGATCTCGAGCGAACTATCGTGGCGCTTTTGGTATCAAGGCTGTTTTTATAATCGGTAGCAAGCGGAGGAATCAGACGTAACAATAGTCGAACGTACCCGTTACCTGCAACAAAAACTATATTCCAGCACCGTACAATCGCGTTCAGTTGTTACTATAAGACAGTATAAGATATCTTGAATTTCAGGTCTACCGAACGGCGATCCGCAGCTGCGGGTCGAGAAGATGCAATATGCGGTAGGTGATACTGTACGAGGAAACTGCACGGTACCGTCGGGAAATCCTCCGGCTAACGTGACATGGACTGTCAACGGCATATCGGTAGGTTGATGAATGTGGAAAACGTCGATAAATTCCCCTCAATTTTTCTCACTGACTCATAACAAACTAAATATTAATGCAGCCCATGTGTGTTTCCAGATAATACTGTTGCCACAAAATTTTTCCTTTGTCGACAGTCCGAATGACAGTTCAATTTTTGTCTTCCTTAAAACAAACAATTTGACTATTTTGTCGTTTAGAAAGAGTTTTTATCATATAAAATTATATTTCGATAAATACATTTTTCTTAAATTTTTTGAAAATCGTATCAAATATTTGCGATAAAATTAATCAAATTTTTAATTTACAAGAGTATAACTGCCAAACGTAGAATGAAACATAAAACGAAAAAACTCAAAAGCATCTGAACTTATTTCAGTTATTTGGCATTTTAATATTTTGGGATAAAAAATATTGTTTTGTATTTAACTCTATATAGCTTATATTTCATAGTAGATCAATTCGCCAAATATAACAGCAACAATGGTTTTATTTTCAAGTATACTATTACATTATTTATTTGATATAACGTTTCACTTCATAGCCGTTTCACTTGTTTCTTTCTATACTTGCTATTGCCATTAGTTGATAATACTGTCAATTTGAAAGGTTCTTAACGTTTGATTCTAACTTGTTTATTTTATTTCAACTTTGCGTTTACAAACATGTCTAATATGAAACATCCATAATAACTATCACATATTTTTAAACGTTTCTGCATGATGAGTAAAAATATTTTGTATTAAAGTTCTATATTACCAGAGATTCTATGATTACTTTCTATAATATATGATTTTTCATTTAATAGGAGGAAGAAATTAAATTATTTTTAAAACTTACGTTAACGTACAATTGTTACATTTTCTTAGCATAAATTATCTTTCTGTTTACAATATGTTCTGCAAATTTCTATGATAATTGCACAATAAATTTGCATTCATCTTACCTTCGCTATTTAACTTTGCAATGGTCATTTGAATATTCAATTTCTGAAGTTTCTATTTCAGGATAAACGTAAACGACACTACCAAAATAATTTCCTTCGTTCTTATCCATTATCTACATCTATTTAAAAAAAAAGATATGTATAAGTAGCATCTTTTAAGTTGAAACATATTATAATGTCATTATGACATAATTATGTACTTTTTAAATACCAATGACTTAAGAGCTGAACACTTTCCCTATTTTTTGCTTCGTGTGCATGTGGAAATTTAATAGCTCTCGGAAAGCAACGGGAGAATCCCACCTTTCCATTAAAGAAAATTGCTTATACGTGATCGACTGCATTAAGCGTAAATGCAACGTCGCGGACGATCTTCGCGACGAGCACAGCTTGTCAGCTTAAGGGTCTCGAAGGAGCAACGCTTGTTCTCGTGCGTACATATAGCCTGGGAGACGCACGAGATGCGTGGAAATCATGGACACAGGAAACGTGACATCAATTCATGACGGCGCCATATAAGCGATATCGTGAACTCGAGAAAATCGGTAAAATCATACACATACGCAATCGTCTGCGAACGCACGAGACGTTCCCGTTATGCTCGCGGATATACAGAGGCGATTCAGGAAATTATAAAGACTCTCTCTCTCTCTCTCTCTCTCTCTCTCTCTCTCTCTCTCTCTCTCTCTCTCTCTCTCTCTCTCTCTCACTAATCCTCTTCCAGTGTCGGCGTACTCTGAACAACCTCCATTTAATCCGGAACTCTCACTTCAATATAGCGAGCCCGTAATCTGGGACGTTTTACGAGCATCCTAAGAATCCGATAAACATCATAGTTATAGCTGTATGCGCCGCAAATCATTTATGGCTACCGAAGAAGGCGTGTTACCGCGTAAACGAGTGGCAGGAAGCAGTAAGGATGAACTGGTACCCCAGTCATCGTCCCATCGTTCTTTCACAGATTTTATTCGCCGTTAATATGTCGAAGTGACTTGTCTAATTATCTATCTATATTTTCCCGGTTAATTAATTCTTTATGATATCACCCGTCTTAATGACTTATCGGTAAGACTATAAACGTTTCGAAAATTGAAATAGCGTTATCTATTATTGGATGATTATATTCCGCATGGCGTAACAAGAAAAACCGGGGGACTTCCTCGAGCACACGAGGGAATTCCTCTGAAATAATTGTTAATTTACTTGCAATAAGTACGTAGCTTAATTGCACAGTGGCTAGGTCGTAAAGTGAACCACCTCTCGACGTAGATCGCATAAAGCTAATTGATTTTAGAGACTCATAAATCATCGTATCCTTTTTTTAACGCTTTTGCTCTGCTCGAAGAGGGCGGCATATCACCGCCACGTTTCGTTCATAATTGACGAGCGTATGAAAATCGACAGTTTTATGATCTTTGTGTTCGAGGTATTTTATGCGCTATTTAGCGAAAATTTTCAACTAGATTTTGTATACATGAAAAATTACCATTATGTGTCATCAATTATTTTTGCGAATATTTATTCAGAATTTTAAAGACAAAATTAAAAAGAAACTCAAGGAACGTAGAAATAAGATTTCAAAATTATTCATTGCTATATAGTACTTTTTTTCGTTGCAGGTGAACTCAAGTTTCATCAGTCAGAAAGTTGACGACAGTCAACAGCACATGACAATTGCTGGATTGGACTTCGAGACGATGCAGGATAGTTACAGCAACGGCAAACTAAAGATCATGTGTCATGCCAATGTCTTTCATTTATATAAAAAAATGGCTGAGGTATCTCTGAAGGAAGAACGTCCAAGATTGGCTTCCGTATTAGGAACACGGGAATCCTCTTACGGTGGTACGAGTTATGCCTTACATTTTTATTTTATCTTATAAAAGTAAATAAATTGAAAAAGTAAAGTTTGTGGGAAAAATTATTCTTTGTGGAAGAAAAGTTCGTGGAAAAACTTATTCTTTGTGGAAGAAAAGTTTAATATTCTTCAACGTAACTAATTTAAAATCAAATTTGAACTATCATAACGTTATGATAAACTTTTCCCGTTTAAATAAGATCTTCTATATAAGACGTATCATAGTCTTCTGATTTATTTACATTACTTGTTTTTCTATTATAGGTAGCGCAGCCAAGAGCGCCGCAGAATACTTCTACATCACTGCCGTGACTGCACTGTTGTTGTGTTGTCTGAGATAACATCAATAAGTTTACAATACGTTTTACGCGCATGATTGTATCGGGATGAAGAGAGGAAAATCATTTGTAAAATTTTGAAATTACTAAATGGGATAAAACCTGGGAAAGAAGAAATCTTTTGTTGAAATAAATACTAAGCGTATGTTATTCGTGTAAATAGGATAAAGGAAAAGATTTAGTGAATTATCTACGTGTACGCGATCTACGTCCGCCCCGCGGGTAGATTTGTAATCATGATAAATAACATGTCGTATTATTATGTAATAGATCGACAAGATGTCGCGCCAAACTACCGACGACTTATTTGAATATTGTACCGTCTTTTCTATCCTCTGATAATGATTTTGATACCTCCTCTGTAACATTGTGGCAATCGCAATGTATCCTGTCATGGTTATAGGTAAACACTGTTATTGTTCATAAATAACATTTTATTTCAATGAAATATAAATAAACGATTCACCTTCGTTATTTTAATCTTTAGAATTAATCCTAACCTTCTTTTTAGCGTCTTATTTTTCTATCTAAGTATTCAGATAGCGTTCTATTTTTCTAATCTAAGTATTTAGTAAATTAATAAATTTAGTAATAGTTTATTATTAAATTATTACTTCGATCTTATGTAATTGTTAGAGTTGTAAGAAAAATGCTTAGTGAAGAATATGTTTTAAATTCCTAACGAGTATGTATAAATATGTATTTCTGTACAAAAATTTATTGTGTATCGATTTATTGAATAGACAAAGTCGAATAAATGAAATACGACAGGGTGATATCACAAAACTTATATGCCTTGATTGTACTTAATAAAACCATCTTATTGCTATTACATAGAATCAGTATGCATTCGTATGTAGTACCTCAAAGCGACTGAATTTAATCAAAATTAGATGCAGACGATAACGAATTATTTATGAGAAACAAAATAAGATTATTAACTTGAAATCTATCGTTTTCCATGTGCATCCCAGTTTGAAGATTGAATTTTCGATTCTATTATATCCATCGTGGCTTCTCTCAGTTTAGTCCTTTCGATTCCAACTTGCTGAATCTTTTCCATTTGTTCGGTAACATACTCTACTTTCCTTTTGAAGTAGTCCTTTGCATCCTCAATCCTTTTTTCTGCATAGTAACCGGTACCAATATCAACAATCACATTATTTGCATCTGCTAGTTTCCCAGTCACATACATAGAACCTGTTAATGGCACCAATATTTCACTACCTGTAAAACATATATAAAACATACATAAAGAACTGTACACATACATTAATGCTGCACAAATCATTAATGCTGTATACAAGAACTATTCATTTATTCGATATAAATTTACTAAAGCTTATATATATTATTTACAAATTACAAATTAAAAAGACTATATTTACAAGCAATGAAAAATGATTTAAAGGAAATAAAGTCTGATCTACAATAGTTCTTTGCTTTTTATTGCTTCGTTTTTTTCTCTTTTCGATCGTTTTTATTGTCGACAATTGTCGTGTTTCCAGTCTTTTTAAAATTTCGTTCTTTTTCAAATAACTTTTCTCATGGATGATAAAAAATAAAGAAACAGCAGAAAAAGATAAAAAAATGATAAAATGCAAAAAATAGAAAGTAAAGAATACATTTATCAATTAGATTTAATAGAAATGAAATTATAGCAATAGAGAACTGCCTTCAATCATATCACTCTTTCGGAATTCGGAGCAGTATTTAAGCTTGCATTTACATTTCTTAACCGTGATTCCTAACCTCAAAGAGGAACCTCAACGCAAAGTC